TAATACTATCAGCAATAAAAAATATATTTAAAAAAGAAAATGAGATAATTAAAAATCTAAAAAAAATAAAACGCATCTCTTATAGATAGCCTGCAGTTGAGTCTCATAATCAATTTCTAATTTGTCTAATGATCTGATTTCTAATTTGAAAGTTTATTGGGTTGGCCTGAGTCAGTGTGGCTCAGTTGGTTAGACTGTTGCTCCAAGCACCAAAGGGTCTCGGGTTCGATTCCTGGTCAGGGCACATACCCAGGTTGTAGACTCAATCCCTGGTAAGGACACATAGAAAGCAATCAATATCTCTCTCTCTCTCTCTCTCTCTCTCCCCCTCTTCCTCTCTCTAGAATCAATGAAAAACATATCTTCGGGTGGGATTTAAAAAGAAAAAAAGTGTTTGTTGCATTTATATTTAAGATAATTACTGATATGGCTGGATTGGAGTCTACCATTCCACTATTGGATTTCTGTTCATCTGTTTTTGTTTCTCTGTTCATTCTTTCTGGCCTTTTAATTTCGTTACCGACTACAGCTTTGTTTCTGCATTATTTAAAAAAAAATAGACTATTTTTAGAGCAATTTTAGGTTCACAGCAAAATTGAATGGAAAGTACACAGTGTTCCCATATACTCCTGCCTCCACACAGCAACAGCCTCTCCCACCATCAATATCCTGATCAGAGTGATACATTTGTCACAGCAGATGAACTTACACTTATCATCATCACCCAAAGTCCCTAGTTTACATTAGAGTTCACGCTTGATGTTGTACATTCTATGGGTTTGGACAAATGTATGATGACATGTATCCACCACTATAGTATCATAGAGAATAGTTTCACTGCCCTAAAAATCCTCTGTGCTCCACATCTTCATATCCCCTTCTCCTCTAGCCCCTGGTCCTTTTATTGCCTACATTAGAGGCCCAGTGCATGAAATTCATGTATGGGTAGGGTCCCTAGGCCTTCTGGCTGCTGGCCGGGACTGTCCTTCGTTCTGTGCCGCCCCCTGGTGGTCAGTGCACGTTATAGTGAGAGATCAAACTCCCAGTTGAACCCCCGGGGGGACACTTTGCATATTAGCCTTTTATATATATATATAGACTAGAGGCCCGGTACACAAAATTCATGGACTGCGGGAGGGGGGGGTGTCCCTCAGCCCAGCCTGTGCCCTCTCACAGTCCAGGAGCCCTCGGTGGATGTCTGACTGATGGCTTAGGCCCACATCCTTAGCGCTGCCGTGGAGGCGGGAGAGGCTCCCCAGCCGTGAGCCAGCTCAGGGCTTCTGGCTGAGCAGCTCTCCCCCTGTGGGAGTACACTGATCACCAGGGGGCAGCTCCTGCATTGAGCATCTGCCCCCTGTGGTCAGTGCACGTCATAGCGATTGGTCATTCTGCCGTTCAGTCGATTTACATATTTATTATCATATTAACATCTTATTATATAAGTTTTGCCTTTTCCAGAATATCATATAGGTGGAATCATATATATGTAGCCCTTTCAGATTGGCTTCTTTCATGTTAATATGCAATTAAGGTTCTTCCATGTATTTTTATGGATAGCTCTTCTTTTTTTTTTTTTTTAAGCAATGAATACTGCTATTTCATTGTCTGGATGTACCACAGTTTATCCATTCTCCCATTGAGAACATTTTGGCTGTTTTCCAAGTTTTGGCAATTATCAGTAAAGCTGCCATAACCCTTTGTGTGCAGGTTTTTGCATGGACCTGTTCTCAACTCATTTGGGTAAATATCAAGGAGCACAATTATTGGACCATATGGAATGAGTATGGTTAGTTTTGTAAGAAGCTGTAAGAAGCTGGGAAACTGTCTTCTAAAGTGGTTGTACCATTTTGCATTTCCACCAGCACTGAATAAGAATCCCTGTTGCAGCTTGATCCCTGGGGGGGTGGGGGGGGGGGCGTGTGGGAGATAGCTGATCAGTGATTCTCTCTCATCATTGATGTTTTTTTCTTTCTTTCTCTCCCTTCCTCTCTGAAATTAATAAAAATATATTTTTTAAAAAGAATCCCTGTTGCTCCATATCTTTGCCAACATCTGGTGTTCTCAATGTTTTCGATTTCAGTCATCCTTATAGGGGTGTAGGGGTATCACTGTTGTTTTAATTTGCAATCCCCCAATGCCACATGATGTTGAGCATCTTTTCATAGGCTTATTTATTCCTGTATATTTTCTTTGGGGAAGTGCCTGTTCAGGTATTTTGCCCATTTTTCTTAAATTGGGGTGTTCATTTCCTTATTGTTGAGTTTTAAGAATTCTTTGTATATTTTGGATTAACAGTCTTCTATCAGATGTGTCTTTTGCAAATATTTTCCAGTAGTCTAGAGCTTGTCTTCATATTTTCTTGATGCATTACTTAAGGGTTGCTCTAAGGCAACAATTTTCAACTTTTTCATTTTGTGGCATACATAAACTAATTACTAAAATTCTGTGGCACGCCAAAATGTTACATGTTTTGCTGATCTGACAAAAATGGGTATAATTTTTTTCTTTCTTTTTTAAAATATATTTTTATTGATTTAAGAGAGGAAGGGAGGAGAGAGATAGAAACATCAATGATGAGAGAGAATCATCAATTGGCTGCCTCCTGCACTGGGATGGAGCCCACAACCCAGGCATGTGCCCTGACTGGGAATCAAACTATGACTTCCTGGTTCATAGGTCGACGCTCAACCACTGAGCCATACTGACCAGGAATGTATAATTTTGATTCATTTACACTGGATAGCTATTCTTGTGTTGGCTGTTGTCATTTTTTTATTTGATAATCTAAGGGAAAAGAGGTCAGTGCCTGACTCAATAGTCAGGTAGTCCATGTTTTAAAAATTCTTGTGGCACACCAGTTGAAAATCGCTGCTCTAAGAAATACAATCTTCCCTAACCTCCCAGTCTACTTGTCATTAATATACTATGTGACAGCCTCAAAGATGGACCCCAATGATCCCAGTCTCCAGGTATCCATGCTCTTATGTAGTCCCCTCACACTGTACTGGGGTTGGTGACCAATGGAATATGGCAGAAATCATGGTTTGCAACTTCCAACATTAGGTTTTAAAAGATAATGAGGCTTCTTGCCCTGGCCAGTATGGCTCAGTTGGTTGGGTATTGTCCCATGCACCACAATGTTGCCAGTTCGATTCCTGGTCAGGGAACATGCCCTGGTTGTGGGCTTAATCCTCAGTAGGGGGCTGCAGGAGGCAGCCAACTGATGTTTCTGTTTCTCTCTCCCTCTCTCTCTCTCTCTCCTCCCTCCCTCTCCCGCTCTCCCTCTTTCTCTCCCTCCCTCCCTCCCTCCCACTTTCCCTGAAAAGCAATGGAAAAAATATCCTCAGGTGAGGATTAACAAAACAAAAAATATTTTAAAAAAAGAAACTTGGTTGTTCTTTCTTGAATCATTCACTGAGGAAACGAAGCTCTTAAGCTGTGAGCAAACCTATGGAGAGACCCACATGGGAAGGTTTCTTGCCAACAGCCACATGGATGAGTGAATGAGCTGGAAGCAGATCCTCCAGCCTCAGTCAAGCTTTCAGAAGACTGCAGCCCCAGCTGACAGCAACCTTACGATAGCCTAATCAAGAACCAACCAGTTAAGTTGCTCCTGGAGTCCTCACCCTCAGAAACTATGTGTGACAATAAATGTTTATTATTTTAAGTTGCTAGGTTTTAGAGTCATTTGTTAACAACAATAGGTAATTGCACCACTTCACATACAATAGAACTATCTCACAAAAAATAATTCCATTTACTCCCTGTCCTTTATGCTATAGCTGTCAATATCATTTTTTGTTTAAAGAAGCCATATGTAGTTTTTAAAAGTTGGAAGTGAGAGGATATAGCCCTTGGTATTTACCCACCTAATTACCATTTCTGCGCTCCTCATTCTTTTTTTAAAGAATAGTTTATTGATTTTGAGAGGAAGGGAGAGGGAAAGAGGGTGAGAAAGAGCGATGTGAGAGTGCAACATAGATCAGCCGCCTCCTGCACGGGCATGTGCCCTTGATCAGGAATCGAACGGGCAACCTCCTGGTGCACAGGACGACGCCCATCCAACTGAGCCACACCAGCCAGGACTCTTCATTCTTTCTTGAATATCCAAGTTCCTATCTGGTATCATTCCTTTCAGCCTAAAGAACTGGCATTTCTCATGATGCCAGTTTCCTGATGAAGAATTCCTTGGCTATCATTTATCTGAAAATGTCTTAATTATGCCTTCATTTTTATGGATATTTTCACTGCATATAAAGTTCTGGGAAGAAAAGGTTCCCCCCACCAGCACTTTAAAGATGTTGCTCCACTATCACTGGCTTCCATTGTTTCTAATGGAAACCCAGTAACAATTCCTATCATTATTCTGCTATTTGTAATGGGTACTTTATTTCTGGCTGCTTTCA